CCGTGCCGGTGCAATACGACGACACAACCCCACCGAAATCGAAGCGGTCGCAGGGTCAATGGAACCGTGACGTCACTGCACTCTGTCCGGCTAGACAGCCTTCAACCAGCAAAAACTCTGAAGACAGCTCCCAGTCATCGCATCACTGTATCTTGTTTGGCTAGCCACACCCAAGTAGCGAAGCTCTACAGACTCGACCGGCTCAGATAGTGTCTGTCTCAGTCTGGACGAGGGCAACAAATCTTGGATACGGATCAAGTTGAAGTTAACGACTGGACGAAATATTCGATGGCTACATCAAATGTATTGACAAGCGAGCTAATACATTGTGAACATAATGCGCTGGCACCTGCATCCATCCTAAGCAGCAGCACCAAATGGACAGGCGCTTTCGTCCCCTGACTACCGTATTAATAGACTGAAAACGTGCAGTGAAACCCCAGAAGCAGCTCAATTTGCTTTTGTAAAATACTAGATTTCCAGTCGTTCTCAAAGGAGTGACGTCAATAAATCTTCATTATGCCTTAACGGCGAAGCTGGTTAAATCGATTAGCCATACTAGTACTTATTAACTACCCAAGCGTTCTACTGTTGATTTAACGGTACCCTCGCAAGCAACTAGCAGGACAGCTAGATCTGTCCAGACGGGATAGTTGATACGCGAACCCAGGCTTAAAGCACGTCAGCACCTTCATTGAGTGGTAGCAATTTAATATTAGTCAATACTTATTGCCAATACTGACTAAGTCTGCGCGATGAAGAGCACTCCCCTAGGTCGAGTGCATGCAATTTGCCATAAGGTCCAACGTCAACTGGTTCGCTAAGCGACTCACGGTTCATCGAGCGCACGTATAAAGGCCAAGTTGCCACCACAAATTGCTGCAACACGTGTTACACGAGATAATCTATGTGTCCTTGCCAGACTGATCTAAGGTTTTTATCCACAGCAGCGGAGGTGCCATAGGATAAAACGGTAGGCAGCGCCCACCAACACGAAGCATCTGACAATGATGATCCCTCTTCCAACCTCAGCTCGAACAGGTAAACTTGTGAGAAAGATCTATTGACAAACTCATTTCCATATTTACACTTCACGCAGAAAGACCTTCCCGAACTCCAGCGTTGACGAGCTCCAATAATGGTGATCATGTCCAGATCCTTTGCACTTGTTGCCACTGCCGTCATGGCATCTACCGCGGTAATCCAGGCCTCTCCACTCCAATACGACCCATACACACCTGTGAACGTTTCGGTTCCCTTGACGCCGTCGCACCCGGCGTATGGTGCTCAAACGAAGGACTGCGTCGAACCGATCGTGCCTGAAGACCCGAATCAAGCCAACGCTGAGTCAATGACGCTCCAGAGCTCCATTTACCGGGAGCTACGCTCAATGGAAGACTCGACCAACTCCGACATCCAGGATATCGAGCTCTTCTTCGGATCCGAAGTGGAAGTCAACTTCCAGACGCTCAAGAGTCAGTACGCATCGGGCCAAGCGCCAACAACACCGTGGGCAAGTAGCTATTGGCCGACTTACCAGGACAGCATTAACCATGTCTGGAAGACCGGTGAGGCCAGTGCTTCAGAGAAATACGCCAAGGCGTACGATATGGACGTCACCGAATTCAAGAACAAGATCTCGGCTAGAAACGGCATAGACTCGCGCAAACGTAGCGCTGCGTGCACGATCAACTCGGACTGTAAGAGTCGTAAGGATGGCAGCGTCTGTGCTAAGCGTGACGGCATGACGTCGGGCTACTGCATCCCAGCTTGGTTTGGCATGTGCCACGCGTGGGCACCAGCGGCTATCCTTGAACCGGAACCGCAGTGCGACGTGGTTAAGAACGGTATCACATTCCACGTCATGGATATCAAAGGCCTACTCACGTCTCTATACGACGGAGCCTCCATCAAGACGGTGTTCACCGGCGCTCGCTTCAACGGCCCGGACACCCCGGCGAACAAAGATCAGTACGGTCGATTCACCGACGCTGCCCGTCGTGACTTAGGCGCCGGTTTTTTCCACATCGCAATCACCAACATCATGGCCAAGCAGAATCGATCGTTCGTTGTGGATGTGACTGCAGGTGCAGAGGTATGGAATCAGCCTGTGCGCTCGTTCAGGGTTCAAAGCATGGATCTGGTGAACACTCGCATGGCCTCGATGCGCTACTTTGGCGTGCCCAGCTACCCGTTCAACGACAAGATGGTGCATTTGGCGTACGTCAAGACCACGTTTAGCTGGGTGGTCGAGTCATACAACGACGGCCCGCTCGTGTCCTCTGGTCAGATCGACTCGTACACGACGTCGAAGGACTATGAGTATTTGCTGGAGCTGGACGCCAACTACAACATCATCGGCGGTGAATGGATCGGTCAGTCCAAAGAGGACCACCCCGACTTCTTATGGTTCCCGACGGCCAAACCCGACGCTAACGCCGTCGCCAGCACCGGATTAAGCTATGCTAACGTCCAAGAGCTACTCAAAATGTCGCTCTCTTGCGAAGCTTAGAAACCCATTTTTGTCCCAAAACTGTATGCATGTACCAAAATTTACGTCGTTTTTACCGAAAAGCGTGTGTATTTTTAATCTTATTCTGGCGATCTGAAACCTCAAAAAGCTCTTGCTGGAGCGTCGTTCCCGCCGATCGCCCACCATGCCGGAGCCGCTGCACGTGACCATCATCCGCGTGTGTGCGTCGTTGGCTGCCTGTATGCTGTTTGCGAGTCTGTTGCCGGATATTCGCGTCGTGCACCAGCAGAAAAGTACGGCCAGTATGCCCAGCTCACTCCCAATATTGTCCATGTTGGCGAACTGCGTAGGGTGGGGACTCTACGGCCTACTCATCGGAGACTATTTCCCTCTCGTGGTCACAAACATCGTGGGTGTGGTACTTTCACTCTTCTACCTCGCTGTATACTACCATCATGAAGCAAACAAAGGGAGATTACTACTCGAGATTCTAGCTACGACATTGGTACTTGTGGGACTCGTGCTGTATCCATTCATTGCGGCGTCCGAGGGAATAGAAGAAGAAACTATTCACGACATTGTCGGGTTTGTAACTGTAGCCATCTCCGCCGTCATGTTCGGATCGCCACTGGTTTTAGTGAAGAGAGTCATTCAAGAACGCAACACGGAGCTACTACCGCTCACGATGATCGTCGCTGGCGCGGTGAATTGTATACTATGGCTCACGTATGGATTACTATTGGAAGACCTATTTGTCATTGTTCCAAACGCGGCGAATTTGCTTCTGGGTGTCATACAACTTGGACTATTTTGCTGTTTCCCTCGTGGTAAAGCGTACGACACGGTGGAGTCCACCACTCCTCGCTCTAAGCTCAACGCGCCAAAGAAAGATAAAATGAACTCAACCGACGTCGAAAAGGAGGACGGACTAGAGAATAGCTCCACGATAGTCGACACTGAAGACGAACCGAGCAGCATCGACGAAGAGATGGAGTCAAAAGAACACGAACCTGACAAGGTGGAGACCAAGATCGAAGTGCTCTGAATTAACATGATACGTGCGTCCATTCTGCTCGCTGTGCGGCCGATGTGCTTGAATCAGACACACCAGACTCTTGATGCCAATGCTACAAAACAGACAGAGAAACCAATGTCGAAGCCTTTGCCATTAAACCACTGTGTATGCTGAAATATATTCTACATGATGTACAAGTAACAAAATGAAGCCGCAACTTGTCTTTCGGTAAATATTTGGTGTTTCGAAGTGTGAAACTCTATAATGCAAGGGCAACCAAACTTTTCGCACTTTGAATGCCTGCGGTCTCTTGTTCTAAAGACTGATAAAAAAAAAAAGAAAAAGATGTCGCTATTTTCGGAGCAAAATCCCCAACTTGTTGAATTTGCATGCAGCGTCCAAGGGAGCGTAATGAGAACCCCATCGTATTCTTTGACATGTCGATAGGCGAGAAAAATGTCGGGAGACTGCTCATCGAGGTAGGCACTT